TTGTTTTATAATAGCACTTGTAGAAACCTCTGTTTAAGAGCTGCTGTAATTATAGCCTTTACTCCCAAGGTAGTAGGAGAGAGAGCTCAGCAGTGTTGGTGCAGATTGCTTTTGGTTGTTTTTCTTTTCCTCTTAAGTACATAACAAGGAAATAGCAAACTATGCTGCATCAGAAACTCAGTAAACTGGGGAACAGTTCTGTCAGACATGGAGCTTCTGTAATACTGTTCCTGCTCTGAAAAGTATGGAGACTTCTGCTCTTACCTATCTTGTATAGGAAAGAGGGTTAGACCTTTACTGTGGTGGCAAGAGTTAGCAGCAGAATTACTTCAAGTTGAAGACTAAATGACTGTAGCTAAGACCTCTAAGGTAAAGGTTGACAATTTCCCCTTGAGTGTGGCTTTGAAATTGAGTACTAAGTAGCTTCTGCTGACAGATTTGTTTGTTGTTGTCTTGTCTGATAATGGAATACTTGTGACCTAGCAGGTAGAAGGAACTCATTTTTGGCAGTGACTGATATTCCAGAGTTATCCCAAAATCATACTAGTCCATCCTTTTACAGGTCTGGTATCAGTCTGTGTGCTTTCTACCCAGACGTAAGAAGCAGTTTAGAGCTGGGTGATAATGCTCCTGGGAAGATGTGAGGAAGAAGCAGTAGGGATTACTTACACGGCATTGTGTGAAAAATAATGCATTAGTGTTATGTATGTTTGGTGTGCTGTGCTCCACAGAACTAGTACTGTGGTCTTAAAACTGTACCTTTTACTTGGCTTTTTCTTCAGTCAGTGGCATAAATGATCTATGGACTCTGTCTTAAATAGAGTTGTAAGCCAACTGACTTAATGTTCCAGTGAGTGAGATGGATGTGGCTTAGCAAAGTTGCAAACTATTGAACCGTGTTTTAAAAGGCTGTGAATTGAAGTCCAGCCTCTTTTTGTTCAGACAGGTAACTAGCCTGTGCTGTCTCACAATCAATTTCTGCTTATAGAGCATATAGACATGTGTCAACTCTGTTCCCTGTGAAGCTAGATTGCCTAGTGATGAGTAACTATGGTGCTAGCACTCCTGTAAGCTTAAAGCCATAACGGTATTGTACGGCCTCTGAAGTATTCACATGCCATCTGCAACATCCCCTGAAGGACAGTGGAGAAGCCATGTACTTATTGGCAGAGCAGTAATGAACAGTAGGGGTTCTGAAACTGCCATGTCAGGTGTTGTGTTGGACTCAATTTTGAAGTCATTGCTTGTGGCTAATTGCAACCTCTGTTGCAAAGTGGGTGGAATGTGATCATTACAGTGAAGCCAATGGTTATGTCAGTTTGTCAGATTTTAATTCTGTATTTTAATTTTAGACTTTATAGCATCTATGTGACATAAAGATTCCTCTCTTAATGTCCTGTTTTCTGCCTTATACTGGGAAACATTAATAGCATGTCTTTCTGCTAAAATAATAGAAGGTGGACAAGATTCAGTGGTTGAAACAGTAATTGCATTTTAAGGGAGGGGGGAAAAATGTGGGTTTTTTTATTATTATTTTTTAAAAAGAAAAAGGTTCTCTGACTCACAGCCATTGGTCGTTTCAGGCAGAGAGATGTTAAAACCTGGGTCATTTCATGGCTGAAAAAATGTCATTTTACCACTGAAGTAATCTTTCTGAAAAGACTGGTTTGGAATATTAATCGTATCTAAGAGCTGAAAATCATTAGTTGTAGCAGTATTGCCAAAGAGTTGTATATCAGCTACAGTTCACATTTGTTTAGATCCATGGGATTAATAGGTTCATGCTACTGTTACAACTCAAGTTGCAGTATAATGTTCAAATATAAACACTATAAAGAAGGCAGTAATGACAAGGAAATAATTTGTTCCTTTAATAGAAAATGGATAGTCCAGTGCTGAGGTATAAATAAGGCTAATCCATCTTTCAGGAATACAGATTCCTATCCTGCTTTCTAGAATTACTTCTGGATTGAACAATTTTCCATTACTAAAACAAGTGTTAGAACTTATCTCTAGTCCATGTATTTCTTAAAGAGCTGGAGTCTCTTAAATAATAGCTTTGGCACTGCTTAAAATGTGAAGTGATTAAATGCACTGTGTTTCTCTGAGTGCCCTCACACCAGTTGCTGCTACTAGAAACCTTACCAAGTTGAGAGTGTGCTAAATTTTCAACTTTGAAACTGGCCCTACTTTAATGAGTTTGGGTAGATGCTTATTAAAATCTGTATGTTGGGAATAGCTGAAACTTATAACACTGAGAATGATGTGGGGAAAACAACCAGTGTGAAAATAAGGGCAGGAATGTGCATTCTGTGGCCCAGCACAGCCTGCAATGTGACCACCCCCTGATTATGGCTCTTCCCCATTAGGTGGCTGGGTGTGCACCCATTGCTCACAGCAAGCACAGTGCTGCAAGATTGGCACTGTCTGGGCTGAAACTGGGACACAAGGAGGGTGCAGGGCACTGCAACACAGTTTATGGCAAATAATTGTGTGCAGTTTGATATAGTGGCTAAACACAGTCCCAAGAACAGTGAGAAATACGTAGTTATGCTTTCTATTTTGATACAAGAATTTGAGAATGTGCTTCAAGATTGAGGAGGAGGGGGTGGAAATCAATTTGTTTGCAACTCCATTCTAAGTTGACATAAATACATTACCAGCAAATTTTCAAAAGCAATGCATGAAGTTGCAGTCAGACGTTCAACTCAATCTGATTGTTTCTTTACCAGACCTTTATAAGCCCTTGCTGATCAGAGATGATCAGAGAGGAACATTTCTTGCTTTCAATCTCACCTTATTCAAGCCATTGCTTTTTGGCAGTGTGCGTATTTGTGAGCAACTGTTAAGGGCAAATATGCACAGGAAGAGTAAAACTTCATCAAAAATCTCTGAACAGCTTGAGAAGTCACTGGGTATTGCAGCCACTGTCATCAAACCAGACCGATGGACTAGTTCCATAAGAAAGTCAAATATCCCTTTAGTTTTTTGTTTCTGTTGTTCTTTTTCTTTAATGTTGTAATAAAAATAATAAAACATGTTCTGTTACCTATATGTGAATTATAGTATATACTTTAGGAGGGCTGCTCTAAAAGTAAAACCTCCTATTTTATTATGTTGGCCCATGCTATCAGAGGTGGACATCGGCTGTATGGCGGTACAGGTTGAACCTTCCTACCATTATCCCATTGCATGTTGTTGCCACGTGGCAGATGGCAGCAGAGGAGCAGTCTGACCAAAAGGCATCTGATGTGGAAGTGCTGACCAGGCAAAGGTGTGGCAATGAACTCCTCTGGAGAGGGAGAGAGGGGGAAGGCACCTTTTGACATTCATCGTTGCTAAATGTTTAAGGAGAGCAGTGGATGTGAGGCTGTGAGTGGTGCATCTTAGTGGTGGCAGTGACAATGGGTCACCTCTGGTACAGATTTTTACAGGTGTGGTGCAGGCTCTTGTTCGTCGCTGATGAAAATGGATAACCAAAGGTAGCGACTGTACTGAAAAAGTGTTTTGTAGCTAAGAATTTGCTCTACCAGACACTGTTGCTGTACTCAATCTGTTATAGGTTCCATGGGAATAAATAGGAAGCATTACTTTTAGAGTGACCTAGTGGCCCTAAATTATTCCTCTTCACTCAATGCACCCTAGGCAAGCCGAAAGATTGGACACCCGTGAACAAGTGATGTTTCTCTGTTAATTAATAATTAATCTGTAGGAGATTCTTGCTGAAGGAAATACATTTTTAAAGAAATGATTGGGTATTTAAAAAAAATCTACTAGGGGTTACTAACTAAAATAAAATTTGTGATTCAAAGTACTGTGCTTCAAGCAATCTAAGATTTGTGCATGTGTGCGAAGTACCATTACAGTTTACCCTGCTGTGTTTCTTAAGCATTGACTATTGATGTGGTAAATAAAACTGGAGGACAGAACACCAGCAGAACATTCAAGCTTGGTGAGACGACAAGCTAAACAATTAGGGAATTTCACCCAAGGATACTGCTTTGATTAATCACAGAACTGTAAGGGTCAGAAGGGACCTCTGGAAATCACCAAATCCAACCCTACTATCAGAGCAAGTAACACAGGAAGGTGTCCAGATGGATCCTGAGGATCCTGAATATCTCCAGAGGAGGCTCTACAACTTGTCTGGGCAGCCTTTTCCAGTGCTCCGTTTCTCTGACAGTAAGTTCTTCCTTGTTTGTATGGAACTTCTTGTGTTCCAGTTGCTGCCTGTGGCCCATTATTCTATTGCTGCAAACCACTTAAGAGAGTCTGGCCCCATCGACTCGGCTCCTGCAGTTTAGATATTTGTAAATAGTGATGAGATCCTCTCTGTTCTCCAAATTGAATAGTCCCGGGTCTCTCAGTCTTTTCTCATACAAGAGATGCTCAAAGTCTCTAATCATCTTTGTGGCCCTCTGCTGGACTCTGTCTTGAAGATCCCTATCTTTTTTGAACTGAGAAGCCTGTAACTGGACACAGTATTCCACAAGTGGCCTCATCAGGGTAGAGTACGGGGGGAGGAGAACTAACCTTGACCTCCTGGCCATACTCTTCTTGATGCACCCCAGGATACTACTGGTCATCTTGGCCCCAAAGGCACACTGCATGCTCAATGGCCAACCTGCTAACCACGAGGGCTTTAAAGTCCCTCTCCTTGGAGCTCGTTTTCAGTTCAAATGCTCTTTCTTAAGGTTGCTAGGATATAGCAGTATTTAAGTTGCAAGCTGTTCAACTCCTTTATCAATGAATGTGCTTTTGCTGACTTCACTGAAGATGTGAAGTCTCAAATGTGATTGAGGGTTTATTTTTTTTCTAAATACGTCTTGTCTACCTTAGTATAATTCATTGAGAATGACTGGCAAGGAATGGAGTTTTGTTTTTACTAAATGGCTTAGATATGCAGAAGGGGAATAAACACATTTTTTTTTAATGCATATATTCCTGTCTCTCTTCCAAAGCCTCAGGTAAGGAGGAAAAAACAAACACTACCAAAAAACTTAAGTGCACTTGAGTGTATGATGTCTTGATTTTGCAGGCACTGGTTACTGATGTTCATTGTACTTTAATATAAGCATAAATACAGAGACTAAGTTCTGCATGAGATCAGGTATTACCTACTCCCTTCAGAGCAACTCTATTTTTTCTTTTGCAGAGCACCCATGAATATTTAGGCCTTCAAATCAGGGCTTTGTACTGCTGTACATTTATCTCTTTCAAAAAGAGAGAATTTACTCTAACAACTTATCACAATCTCAGCTGTTCCAGTCAAGTTTATCTTGGAACATTATTTAAAAGAAAGAACTTGTAGTCAGTGTATAACATCATTCCTGCTTACACTTCTTTGCTACTGTTCTGTAGCTTACAAGCACGTTTGGAAACTTCTTTAGATGTTTATATTCTTGTGGGATGATTCATATACTATTACTACATGAAATAGTTCTAGTAAACATACAACATAAGTTGGAATTCACTTCCTCAAGCCTTTTTAAAAGGAAAAAAAAAAAATCAAATGTATCAAAACAACTGATACTGAAGTATATGTAGAAATGCATTTTTCTCATTTCCAACATGAACCACCACTCCCTTTTTTAAATAATCAAAAACAACCCCTACCAGTGAAACTGGCATCTAGCATCATCACAGCTGGCTCAGTCTTACAGGTTAGGGAATGTTCTAGATATTATAGAACTGTGTCTACTGCAATCACATTGAGTTTTTGCTAACAAAAAACTCACTCTCGTTCTGTCTCCAATTCCCTTGATTTACATTTTCCCCCCCTTCAGCAGTGTTATTTCCCCAGCTGCAAGTTAAGTACAGTGGACTTCAAAACACAGGCAGTATGCAGAAAAAAAACACAGTACCTCACTGTAAGTGAACTGCCAGTGCAAACTGCAGCCCCTTTGCAATGAGGCTTTGTATAAAATTAAATGACTGTGTGGTGAAAACATGCTTCAGCAGACAGTCTGCTGAGTTCTTCCACCACGGTAGTGATGGCTTTCTGCTGGCAGCCACCTAACAATTTGCCCAAGTTGGATGATGCTTTGCACAAGTTTCATGGTTAAAAGATATGTATGATTGTGTTTCATTCAGCACAGCTCTCCTTTTTCTGGCTGCAGCACTGCAGAGGGGTAGAAAAAAGAGCCAGTGAAGGATGCTACATGTATCCAGCTGTAGTTTTAAAAAGCCCCTTTTGCTAGTTTCTTCCTAATTCTTTGGGTCTTTCTAGGCAGTTCAAAAGTGGGGGCAGGGAAGGGGGGAGGTCAATGAGCATACAGTAGGTGACTGCTATCAGTCATTCTCATTAGATTTAGATTATTTATGCTTTCTCTTCTTCTTCTTCTTCTTTTCTTTTTTTTTCTTTTCCTTCTTTCTCTTTTTTTTCTTGTGTTTATCCGAGGAAGTGGAGCTGCTGCTATCTTCATCATCATCGTCATCACTGTCATCACTGCTATCGTCATCTGAGGTGGAATCCTCAAGGAGCTGCTTCAGCTGCTGTATCCTGTGTTTAAAAAATATGAATGAGAATCCTTTATAGACTTTCCTTGTAACAATTTATTCTAGCTTTCATCTCTTTCCTCCCTAGCTTGAGAAATGGAAGCTGCATGCAAAGAGCAGGGGAATGCTCCCTCTTTTGCTGAATTACAACTTCCATCAATTTTCAGACTGATGACAACCTCTTCTGAGATACACACATTGAATTCAACATCTTTCCATCCCCTGGGATATCACGAACTAGCATATTTGACAATGCATAAATAAGTCACTCTGAAAGTAATGCCTCCTATTTATTCCCACTGAAACTAACTACAATAAGTTAAAAGAAGCACAATAAAACTATTTGACAGAGCAAATTCTACAAAGCTACAAAATACTATCTTTCAACATAGTCACCACCGTTAGCCATATTTTTGCTAGCAGTGAATGAGGGCCTGCATGACACACACATTTAAATCTGCACCCACAGACTCCTAGCAATGATGCTATCAGAGCAGCTGTACCCACATGGTCCACCTTTCATTAGCCCAAACAGACAGAAATCTGAAGGTGCCAAATCCACACTGTATGGTGGGCATGGTAGGACAGACCATTTAAGACTGGCGGTGTGCTCCATGGTCTTCAAATTGGAATGTGGCATGGTGTTATCATGTTGCAAGACAAGGGTTGTCTTCTTCTCTGGCCTGACTATAGAAGTTCCAGTCTTCAGCTCAGTCATCATTACAGTACAGCATCAGAGTTGATGGTTGGTCCATGTCCCAGAAAATCCAGAAGCATTACCTATATGTTTCCTATTCCAAAAGACAGTGCATGTTACTTTACCTGCTGATGGCTGCATCTTGGACTTTTTCTTCAATGGGAGTTCACACATCCCCACTCCATGCACTATCATTTTGACTGCAGCTTGTAGTGGTGTAGACACCATGTCTCAGCACCAGTAACGATGTAATCCAAGAAACTGGCACCTTCACTCTTGTATTGGTTCAATAGATCCTGACAAGCTTTCATAGCGTTCCTTCCATTCCTGTGTGAGCATTCATGGGACTCACCTGATGTAAACTCTGCAACATTCCAAAGTTTCCACCATCATTTCCAGTGCACTGAAGGCAACGTTCAGCTCTGTTGCAATATGCCAATTCATGTGGACGAGCTGATCGTGATGCTCTTCATTTCCTGATGTGACAGCTGTGCATGGCTGTCCAGAACGTGCCTTGTCTTTTATGTCACTGTCACCACTGCTGAAACTGACATCCACTGTTTGATCTCCATAACCATTCAGCAAGCATTGATGAATGTCAGTGGGTGTCAATTTTTCTGCACAGAGAAATTCAATTCCACCCCTTTGCTTCAGATGCACTTCTATGTCAGGCACATTTTGTCAAACTGCTTCTCTGCTGCCGTCAGTTTCACAGCAAAGTGTAATGGAATATTGGTTGGAAGGGTCAGTCTCTACTGCCATACCACCAACACCCGCCTCTGATGTTGTGGGCCAACATAATAAAACAGAAGGCATTACTTTCAGAGCAGCCAATGTAATTTAATTAAGCACAGAATAAAGAGACAAAAGCAATCACCAGACCACTGTAAGAAGTTCTAACTTTATGCACACAAAGGTGCACACTGGGATTGTAATATCAAGAAAATAAGTGTCCTGTTGATGAAGAGATGATGTCAATGAAGCTGCCTGGGCAGATTCTACTTTAGATGCAGAGGTATCTTTGACAAGTACTCTTCCTTTGAGCTCTCACAAATTCCTGACAAATGTGGAGGGATACCTGCTGTACACACTGAACAATGACCTCACATGAGGAACAGAATCTGATGCCTAGAGCAAACCTAAAACCATCCCTTCCTGTCTACTGAAAGATTTTTGACATAAAAACAACTAGTGAAGCCAATGAAAAATGTTTTTATTAGACCTAAAAGAGAGTAAGATCCAAGTACCCAAACATTATGGTATAAATGAAGGATTCCTCTTTGAACTTTGTTCTGGGAACAAATGTAGAAGGTATTAAAGAGGCAGGAAGTATACAGAATGATCACTGAGAAAGCAGAAATGCATTAATCTCTGATAATAGAAAGAAATAGTCATTAAAAATGTTTGGTGGGTGAGGGTAATATATCAGCATTTCAACCACAAACCCTAAATCAGAATCATGTTATCCAATCAAACTGAAAATGCATTTTACTGCAGAGGCACACTTACCTCATTTCTTTTTCATGACGTTTCGTTTCCCTTATTATGTCATACATTGGATCTTCATGTGCCTTTAAAATGAAAAACAGGAGCCTCATTAATGTAGGCTGATTTTTACTTTCTTAGTTACATCACTGATGAAGGAGGCTCTCCTTAGGTATACTGCTGCTTTTCCTCTCCAGTCACAGTTGACTAAGAGGTTCCCAACATATACTGTAGGAATAGTTAGCTAGACACAGAAGGAACACTGAGGTTCAAAATAGTACATACAGTTCCCTGACAGCACATTTTAAAACACTGGATACAAACACATGGCAATACAGTTGCTGAGTACTGGAAATTGGAGCTGTCCTTATGTACTATTACTATTGCTTCTTAACCAAGTTCTGTTTAAATTGAATAGGCATTGCAGCAAAAGATAGTTGTGATGGAAGATAGCAAATAAACTTGCAGATATTTAAGGCCAGTTCATGCCAAGCAAGAATGCAGCAAGAAGAATTGAGGCTACCATTTCTGTTGGAAGATTCAGCAAACAGAGAGACAAAGAAATGGTATCAGATGCTGATCAAGGTGGGAATTCAAATTTCAGTAGCAAATGAAAGATGGTGGGAATGGACTATAATGGCCCTTGACATAACACAAGAGTTTGATGCAACAGAGAAGAAGAAGCCTGAAAAAAATATGAAGAATAGAGGCAATCTGGTCACAAATGTGAGTCAAGTAACTGCTTGCAGCACCATTCTTATTGGACAGAAGGAGCCTGGATTCCATTTTTCACAGATGGAAAGAAAAACATGAGACACAAAGCCATGCTAACTTAAAATACATTTTAACAGTGCAAAGCAAAAGAAGCCACACTGAATGAATCTGAAAAACAAAGATGCAGTCTCACATAGCAGAAGATCAGAATAGCACACAATGGATGGATCACACACCTAGACAACAGGCTTCATGATGTAGTTGGTCAGTGACAGCAGAAGGCTTGAAATAGCTGTAACAGGCAGCTCAGGCTTTACTAAACATATTTGTTGTGTTTTATTGCAAAAATTTATGCTGTAAATACTGACTGACTATGACAGCTGAAAGAGGTTCTTGAAGATTTCCAATTTAAATGTTAATTATTTTCCTCTTGCAGAAAAGATTTTTCTTTAAAGCAGCCAAACATCCAGCCACATCTGTAGCTTCTTCTTTATTAGGAGACTTTTGGCCTCTGTATTAAACTAGAGACAGAAGAAAAGGCCTTAACAGATCATCATCTATCTGGCTTCTCTTCACCTGCAATATTATTCATCACCAACGTCACAAATACAGGCAATAATAATGCAGCATTTGTACTCACTACTCTAAATTGTTCCAGTTTCTGATTGCCTTTAATAAAGAATGGGCATTCTTTATCCCCTGTTCTGTGTCCATAGCGTTTACACCTCCAACCTTGGGAAAGAAAAAAAAAAACCCAACAGTGAATTGCATCTGTGAGCCAGACCAGCATTTAAACAAAACAAAACACAAAGAAGCAGACTTATGGAAAATATTTTCAGTTTTGGAAAAGAAAAAATTAAGAAAAAAAAAAAAGGGAGAGGAAGAGAAGTGTTACATTGATAAATGTAGCTTCCATAGATAAAATAGAAGGCTATTACATTAATCTGTTGATTGTCTTATATCAACATGATGCCAAACTATTTGGATCCTGTCATCCGTCCGCCACACATCCTGCCCTCCCTCCGTGTAAGAAGACAGCTATATGAAGATCCAGTGACACCTGGAACATTTTCAGCCTTACACTGCATAACTTTGACTTCTTTTCCCAAAGGCATCCAAAGCCCTTTTGTTGGGGCATGTGCCAGAAATTCTCGTGCACTTTCATTGCCTGGTACATCAGGTATGCAGTCTTCTGGTTTTGTTTCCTCTTCCTACGGAGAAAGATAAACACAATAATATCACCTTAACAAACAAACAGAAACAGCAACAGGAACAGCCCACCTTTGTAAGAATCAATATTCCAAGTGTACAGGCCTCCATTTAATATGAAAACTATTTTCTCTAACATTTATTTTTCTTGCAACACAAGAAGGGTCTTTCTCCCTGGCCCTTTCCTACTTCAGATTTTCTGGACATTTATCCTAGCACTTTTTTTTCAATAAATGATAGAATTGAAAAATCAGCACAAGCTGAGACTTCTTCTTTGTCGCAACAAAACATAAGAACTAGAAATAGCCTTAACAACATGAAGAAGTATACTGGGGGGTTAAAAACACCAGATTATGGTTTCATTATATACATTCGACAACAACAGTAATCACTACGAAAGTGTTTTTACACAAGTATTTTGAACATAAGCAATGGAGAAGAATCCTGAAAAGAAGCCATACGAACTGAAAATACGCTTCACCGCACACGATTTCCCTGCACCCATACCAAGTACTACATTACTTTTCTGTCCTAAGATTTTGTGAAGGAACCAGTACCATCCTATTTGACTCTGAGCATTTTGCTTGAGATTTAGGGAATCAAAGAGGTTCACTTGCAAACGAGGAGCTCTAAATTGCCCTCTGGAAGGAATTATCTCTGTGATTTATATAGGTCTCCTAGGCCCTTTAACTAGGATACGAGGGCTGAAAGACACTCTCTGAAAATCACCTGTAAAGCTAAAGATGCACGGCAATACAGGTACCAACCTTAATTAGCCCTGGGGGAGGTTTCTCATAGCTGAAAAGCAATAGAAATGTCGTTACTCTGTAGCTTAGCACAAACAAATCATTGACAAAATACAGTACCCCGATGGGATTGAGTTACAATTTTCACCTCCCGTTTTCCCTTCAATTTTACTTCATCAGTAACCAAGCAGCAGAGCTGGATGCAAGCATGCTGAGACCCCGTGCTCTCAAACTGCCGTGCGTTTGCCATTTTGCAGCACTCATCTCCTGTGAATGCTCCTGCGAGGAGCTCGGCGCTGCAGCCGCCATCAGGCCTCCTGTCAGCTCCTCAAATAGAACAGACCTGCCTACGTGTAAAAGCGGGCTCTGCAGACCTCCCAGCTGGACGCACACAGACGAGCGACCCGCGTATTTCGGCCCTGTTTTCAGCCCCGGGGACCCGATCTGACCCACGGCTGGCGACAACCAAAGCCCCCGAGCAGAGCGCTTGGAAGGTTAAGAGTTGAAGCACTTTCACCGCTTTCAGGACCCACGAGGCCGAGGCGAGGCGCCGGGGTTTGGCTGCCCGAGCCCCGCAGGAGGGCGGGGTGCCGGAGCCGGACTCCGCCGTCGGCCGAGGGCTGGGCCCCGCCAGGCCCGCGCCTATCCAGAGGCAGAACGCTCGCCGTGCCCGAAGGACGAGCCCCGCTCCCCGCCGGGTGGGCTCGCAGCACGGCCTCCGCTCCTTACAAGGACTCCAGGTGCTGGAGCTTCTGCAGCTGCTGCGCCTCCTGCTTCTTCCTCTTCCTCTCGTGCCGGCCCTGGCTCCTGCCGCCTCCGCCCGTGGACTCGTGGGAGCTCCCGTGCCGCGCCCGGCTGCCCCTCGCCGCTCCCTCTTCCTCCTCCTCCCGTCCCCTTCTCGGCCCGTGGGACATCGGCGCGGCGCTCAGGACGGCGGTCACACCGCGCAGACCCCGCCCCGCCCGCTGCGCATTTCGCTTTCACTTCCCGGGCCGGGCGGGGCGCCTCGGCCAAGCGCCGCCTTCCGCCGGCAGCGCGGCCCGCGTCGGTGCGGCGCCGCTTCGGTTCGCCGTTGGTGGCGAGGAGGCCGCGGACGCGCTCCTAAAAGCTCCCGCTCGGCCGTGCTGCCTGAGCAGCAGCGCACGTCCTTCTGAGCGCTGCCGGAGCGCCGCGTCCGTCCGCCTGTTCTGATTCCATCGCGGTGTTTTGCTACCGGGACACTGGTTTGTGGTAACGCCAAATCGCAATTGGTTCCACGCGTGGCCGTGTGTCTTCAAGCAACGAGCAAAGCAGGAGAAATGCTTCCAGGCCCTGCAATTATATTTAAGATGTCTGAAAGAACTTAAATGAGATGTAGTATCAATTACTCACTCTATTTAGAGAAGTGGCAATAATTACTAAAAGTTAGGTACCATCTGGGCGCACGCTTACCAAATAGAGACTTTATTTTGGCAGCAAACTCAAGTGACACAATAGGCATTTTCAGTCCCCCTTTAATTCCAGTGATATTTTGCTAGCTTAAATGCCTTTCATTTCGTGTTTTCTAACCAATAGATTAGTCAAATTTTGGAATGTTTGACTTTCCAATGCCTTTGGACAGTAATAGAAAAGATAATTAATTCCAAGGTTGAGAAGGGATGCGTGCAGTAAGAAAAAAGAAAGATCTCAGGAAACCATACCAGCCTCTCTTTCATTTACCCTTCACTGCCCTAGCTTGGGTGAAATAAACACAGTTCTGCCAGTCTGGAGCAGGTAAGCATCTGGCTTGGAGGCCTGAGGCACAGTCACAGCAGCACTGGGGGCTGCCTAGAGGAAGCAAAGACAGACAGTCCTATACTGTCCTCTTCCTTCTGTTAAATTAGTGATCAGTAATTTAACACTTCATTTGTAGATAACTCCAAAGTTCCTTGTTTTCCTTTGCTGAGAAAAGCCCTGACTTCCTGCCTCTGTTGCACACTAACTCAGTGAGCCAATTGCTTTAGTATCAGTCCTCAGGGAAGAACAGAAAGTAAAGAACAGCGAAGAAAGAGGGGGATAAAAAAGTAGAATGGTTATATTCAGCTCTGTTGGTCCTAGAGCACAAATCCTCAATATCTGTGAAGTGTTAAAGGGTTTACATTAGCTGAGGCTCTGGTTCTGTGTACTTAGTAGGCTGAATACTTGAAGATGACATTCTTTTCTTTATTTGACTACAGTGCTTCAGATATTTCAAGAAGTTAATTTGGGGGAACTGTTCTCATACTGCAACCGCTGGCTGTCACAGCACTCTAATTCCAGCCTGCAAGCACTGCAATTGCTACTGCAGTTTAAATGATCTGAAAAGCTTGTGTGTTTCACGATACCCACCCCAACTGTATTTTTATTATAAACAACTGAATGTTTGAACTATAAATGATAATACTAGGGCCAAATTAATTTGCATCTATGTCACCCCGTAGGCATCAGTGTGCCTATGAGAGTGTAACAGTGGTGGAATGTCAGCCAATCTGTTTTTCTCCATTTTTGGCTGGCTAGAGCTTTGAGATGGGATCTGTTTCTGATTATATTACGCAGAGGAGAGGAATCCAGAACCCATGATAGCCTCCACAGGAAGTTAAGCACCTCGTCATGGGATCCAGAACACACAGCAGCCTGTGCACAGTCTGAATCCGGTGTGGCTGGTGTGCAGCTGCCAAAGATAGCAGATAGAATACATTCATAGTGTGACCCTGGTATCTCAAAAAATACTCTAACCCAGGCACGTCCAACCCACGGTCCAGCACAGCCTGTCCTGCAGCCTGCCCCTGCCCCACACCTTCCTGCCAAGGAGTGCAGCCTGGCCCTGGGCATGCACCCACTGAGCATTTTGTTGCTCACAAAGAGCAGTAAAACCACAAAACCAGAGAGATACTAACTATTCTTTTCATGATCCTAAGGCATCACTTCAGTTTGATGGCAGTGGCTGCCGTTCTTAGTGAATTCTCCAGGTGCTCGTCAGAGGTTTTTGATGAAATCTTCCTATACTTCATCCTCAAAAGCAGTAGTTCCTAAAAATATGCACTGCCAAAATGTGATAATGTGAGTAAGACATAGTTCTCTAATAAACATCTGCTAAGAGAGGTCTTATAAAGGCCTGGTAAAGAGATTGCAAGTGATTGCAGCTCTATGCATTCCATTTAAAATTTGCAAGTACTGTATTTATGTCAACTGAACATGGTTTTGTTTTGTTTGTTTGGTTGTTTGTTTTTGCAGTCTTGAAATTTCTTCTCAAATTCCTGTGTCAAAACGGAAAGCAAGGCTTCATATTTTTCTCAGTTCACAGGACTACGTTTTGCCAGTGTATTAAATTGCACACAATTATTTGCCATTAGGTGAGTCAGCACAGCCCTGCACCCTCCCCACGTCCTGATTTCAGCCCAAGCAGTGCCTATTGTGCACCAATCTGGAGTAAGTGCCTCTCCTTTCTTGGTATGTTGGAGTTTGCACTGGGACACCTGTTTCTCCTCCTAGACTCCGCAGTCTGGAAAACTTTGCTCTGTGAGGTGAGAGCTGAGCCCAGGCCTTCAGGCTTGGGATGGACCTAGGCAAATGACAGCTTAGGGCAGGCTGCGGGCACTGAGTTTTCTCAGCACTGGGCACAGAAGGTGGACAAGAATGTAGGACAGCAGAAGTGCTCCCTGTTCTCACTGTAGTGTGGCACCAAAGGACTGGTAAGGCCTCAGCAGCACATGTTGCAGGGCAGTGGCTGGCATATGTCTGCCACTCCACTGGTGGTTGCAACCTGCTTGCTAGGAGCTACCATGTGTGTCCTCAGTGACTGCTGCAGGAACCAGTGTGGCTGCCCTGACGTAGCACCCCATTCAACTTGCCACTGGGACAGACACAGGCATGTGGCAGGCCATAGTGTGAACTGTGCTGGGCTGCATGTGTTCTGCAGACTGGACATGCCTGCTCTAACTTATGGCTAATACGGTCGTCCCACTCTCCATTTGTGTTCCTCTCCACAGAGAAACAGTAAAGAAAAGCTTTTGAGATTCACGGGGCCAGAAAGACAAATGTGTCTGAATTTGGCTCTAAGTACACTAGAAGGGGTGCTCAACCCAGTACTGGAAACTGTAATTCTTCATGTAAAACAGAATCAGTGCTATAAGCACCATTACACTGGTTGGAAATATTATGCTCCTGCATAGCTGAACCATCAGTGTGGTGTTTCTTGCCATACATCATTGCAGAAAGGGAGTGAGGGAGCAGACTTTTGAATGAACACCATGGCCAAGGCTGCTTTGGTACAGCTTTGACCCTCTGTAGATATCTGCAGGTGCAGTCCTTTTAGGAAAATTGGTCAGAAAGGCATCAAAGCTTTGGTTCTAGCACAGCACAGATATGATCTAGGCATTGAGTTGTTTGTTTCAGCAAAAGTAGGTTGCTGTGAGTGTTCAAAAATGAGCACTTGCAGGAAAGCATTACAGCTAAGCAAGGAGGAGTGATTGGAAAGTAGGATGGGGCAGCAGCTGAGAAGAGTTACCTGAACTGCAGTTTTAGGCTGAAGTCCCCTTGTAAGACTACATTCCATTTTAAGCACTTCAGGTTTTTATTGGATCTATTATGAAGACTGGCAAGCTGGTACTTTGGTTGTTTGTTTTTTTTTTTCTTTAAATTCTGTTCTCCAAGGCTGTAATAGTTGATTCTATGGATTAGCTTCACCCACCTTTCTGCAGAGATACTATCTTTTTGATTTCCAGGAGTTTGTAGTGGCAGTATAAGGTTCCATCAGAACTGTAATGCTTACTGTCTTTTCATGTCATTACTCAGTGAACATGGTCTATCTCCCATCTCTCTTCACTATTTTACCTCACTTAAAACTTTAGAGACATTAAATCACTGAGTTTTTTCACAAGCTTTTGCCCTTGCTTTCTGGTCTTTACAAATAAACATGCAACTGCGAGTATTCTAAGCCATTTTTTTGTTAAGCATCACTGACATGTTTTCCAAGAACAAGGGTTTATTTGATGGACATTTATTTGTGTAGTATACTGGTGATATGAGATTGCATCTTCAATTATATACTGAGAACAGGACCCAGATATGTCAGTACCGAGGCAAAGCTTTGTTCAATCTTTGTAGTAGTTTGCCTCCATAAGGACTGAGCACATTTGTAAGCTGCATGCAGTAGGAACACTGAAATGCTAACAGCACATTATGGAACAACAGTGGGGAAGGGAAATTTTGGCTGACAACCCTTGGATGATCTCCCACATTCCTACAAAATATACCATCATTTGTGGGATCATTTGTGCCCAGGCTGAGTGGGCATGGCTTTGGTTTTATAAGAAACAGGCAGACACAAAGAATCCACAGTTCTCTATTCATCTGTTTCTGACAGATGAGAGGTTAAGTCAGGATTGCTGCAATTTGAACTCCTTATTAGAGGGATGATAATTCTTCCAGATTGGATGTTCCTCGTGTATTAAATCTATATATATTTCTGCTTAAACCCTACTGGGTGTAGTCTTACTGTCATCAAAGTTAGCAGGAATATTGCTACTGACTTCAACAGGGATCAAGGCCAGATTCTTTGCCTGGTATCCTCATTTTTCCATCATTGCAAGAAATTCCCCCTTCCAAGCTTAGGTGATATTCTTACATCGGTAACTGATTTGTAAGAACTTTTCCCTTGCAAAAGCAGATTTGTTTCCTGAATGTTGCTTCCTGAAATTCTGTAAGATGCTGACTGATAAAACAGTTCCTATTTTAACGATGCCCAGAGCACCAAGTGAAATAGTCAAGCTCAACCTCAGTGCCAGTACCTGCTCTTGGTATGTCCCCTGCGAGCTGCCAGCTTTCCAGGGGAACATTGGTTTAGTTGCCTGAAAAGACTCCAGTCTTTTTCAGTGCATCACAGAAACTGAAAATTAAATAAGGAAAGAAAGAAACA